GCTCAAACTTTTCACAGAGTGGATTAGGACTGTCATAACTGTCACTGGAGAGTAACTAACTAATCTACTTCGGTCTGGTCCACTAAACTACAACCAAAGTGGCTATCATGATGTCAGCAACAGCATCCAATGATCTGCTGCATTGGGAAACAGTCGTCTCCAAGATTGTGATAGCAAGATTCAAGTCAAAAGACAGAAGGAAAGGTTAGAGTTATCCAATGCGGCCTACGCGCAGACAACTTGGAACAAGAGAAGATGACTGTCTCCAGTGACAACTTTCAACAACAATATTTAGGAGAAAATAGAGATAGAGTGGGTCTACGATGAGGAGAGCGCTGAATGACATCTCTCGCCAGGTCATTACGCAAGTGGAATACAGTTGGGAAAACAACTAGTGGGTTGTCCTAAGGTGGAATGAAGGAGGTCTTACGAGGAGGAAATGAGGATTATGGACAGTCGTGGGTTCATATAAAGAGGAACAGCAAAAAATAGAACATAATGGAGATCGGTTGTTAAAGCCCTATCTTTGTCTCAGAAGCTAAAGGAATAGTAACTTAGCGGTAAGACAAGCGCAACCAGTTAAGTTTGAAAGTCCCCCCCACATCATAATTTGAAGAATCTCATGTTTATCTTACTCACTTGTGGGTAAAGAAGTTCTTACTTGGTTGACTGGTTTCATTATTTTATTGAGTCTACCTTTATTTTACTGGCCGGTTTCTATTACCGTATTTACTATCCGTCATATCTTATTGAATCCCAATCGAAGGTATATGATGCATTAGCTGTATAAAGCATGAGTGTTTCAGGGCTAGAATATACATCGGTACTCACTTGACCGGGAATCGATTCCCCGCCAACACTCCCTACATTCACCCAGTCATTATTAATTCTCGAACAGATGGAAGGTAAGGCTAGCAATCTGATTTTAAGGAAGCAAGACAAAAGCTACTGAAGCTTCAACACTGAAAGCATCAAGTTCTATGTTCCACTTAGCAAAGGAATGAAGAAACAAGATAGTATGCATTGAATCACTTCTACTTTCTTTATTTATTTCTGGATTTCACCATGAGTTGACATGGATTTGAGAACCATTTGGAAACTTCAAGGGTACTGACAGTTGTGTTTTCCTGGTTTGAGCGGTCAGTACTCACCAACGGTTTTCAGAACCCATAACCTTCGTAGATCATTCTGGCACTAAGATCCGTTCCAGTGACCAGCCTATGAATTTCAACTTTTACCAATCAACGATACAATGTGACCACTAGCTAATGTTATCGGTGAGTAATTGTTCAATGGTTCTCTAACCATTGTCAGCTCATGATGTAATCTTGAAACCAATCAAAACCTGGCGTTTTTTTATTTTTCATTTGCAGACTCGGTAAAATGCATAGAAATCCTACAGTGATTTAGCTTGACATCAAATAATTTCCTTCAGTTGACCTAAAGTCCTACAAGTGTCTCTCATTGCACATAAGTATATCAAATAATGACAATCACATTTAATTGAATTCTTAGATTTTCCCGTCGATTGATTGGATCGAAGTGGTTGGTCTCAGGTTGACATGTCGGCTTCTTATGCAGAAGCTTCGACGATGTCTGGGCGTGCGATTAGAATTTAACTGGTGGATGGTGACTAGCAGTGGAATCCAGGATGCGCATTTTGTCACTCACTACGGAATGCAGATACATCTAGATGACAAGTCCCAAATAGGACAGAATTCACATCCTGGATTCTACTGCTAGTCACCATCAACCGACAATCACCTTTGTTTAATAAAACCTAATATTAGATGGTTGAAGGCAATCAGCCACAGAAAGCCTTGGACCTAGGTTTCGTGCTAGTTGACACTCGTCAGCAAGGTGTATCTGCAAGCACCTTGAGGGAAATCATGTCTGAGATTCGAACCCGCGTCACCCAGTGCTACAGTTCGCTGAAAGTTATATCAGAGAGAAAGGTACTTAGTGAAGTCTCTGTTTGTAGATACTGTTTCTGTCTGTCCTTCCCTCGTTCCGTTGGATTCCAGATGGAACACAGAGCTTTACACTTGCGCTTCAAAGCTTCAGTAGCATTAATATTTATTTACAGGAAGAGGATGTTAGCCTCACGGACAACCTTCTATAGTTAACCTGCTGACAAGTGCTCAACAGAAGTTTAGGCGAATTCTAGCACTGAAACTTCGACTTACAAATCTGAGTTTTTCTTCTGCATCAGTTATATTGCTGGAAGAGAAACAAGAACACACCAATAATACTTTGGCAAAGACATTAGTGACGAGTAGCAAAATGTCAGTAAAAACAGTATCTGTCTTTTTCCCATTCATAAGAAATGTCGAGCCGACTCCGTGTGTCCCACTAGAAACTTTAGAGAATAATAATAATTCATAGATTCAAATCTCCCTCCAACTATTTCACCTTGACTAGCTAGATAAATTCATTATCCTATTACCTAAGAATGACAAAATATTTGAAAATGCTGAAGAAAATGTATTCCACTGTTGAAAAGACAGAAACCCGCTATTTGAAGTAGAAAGAAGAAACACTGTCGAAGGATTATCTGGATCCATTTTATTTCGTTGGTTCTCATCATCAGCTGCGTACAAACTGAATTCTTTAATAAACTGAAAATAAAATGTGTACAATTTTAAAAACGTTTATCCATTAGCAAGCATATTGTCAGACCGTCACAGTGAAATAAGGCGTTGCGATCTGAAGGGTGTCCAAAGTGTCATGACATACATATATATTGTTAGAGTGAAGTTTTTGAAAAAAGTTAATTAACAGTTGTGTTGCTAGGGTGTTAACAAAAGAAAATTAGCAATCGTTACGTAATTAGATAACCTCCCCACTGATGCAATCAAAGGTTGAGAAGTACCCCTCACATATTACCTCCAACTGTGTTTACCAATTCACATGTATCTGCCGGAGCAATTACATTGGAAGAACAGAAGGGAGGGCCTCCTTCAGATTCTGCGAACATGTATGAAGGATCATCCAGTTAATGGGAAGAATTGTTAAGCTCTTCAATTCCGCCAAACACCTGATTGACACAGGACACCTAGTAGATGTGCTGGAATCATTCAAAAATAATTAACAGACAAAGTACCTCAAGTTTCTCAACTTTGCTGAAGCTATAGCAACAAAACGATTGAAGCCTGATATATGTGTCCCTAAAGAATCCGTTGTTGGACTTCAATTACCCTGGTGACTCACTTCTTAGTAACTATCTGTTTTCCAATTTTGTTAACGTATCTTTTCACTCCTCCTCTCCCTTTTATTTTTAGCTTGACTCTCTTTGAGAGTTAATTTTTCTTGATTTTCTGAGTTCTGCTCACTGTATTACATCATCAACTCTCTCATCTCAACTCACGTTCACCGAAACTGTACAAGTTTGATCTTCTCTTATCTAATTACGTAACGATTGCTAATTTTCTTTCGTTACCACCCCAACAACACAACTGTTAATTAACTTTTTTCAAGAAACTTCTGTCTAACAATAAATATGTATGTCGTGACACTTTGGACACCCTGTAATTCTCAACGCCTTGTTTTACTATGACTCTCTGACAATATGCTTGCTAATGTACAAACGTCTTTTAAATTGTACACATTTTATTTTCAATTTATTAAAAATTCAGTTTTTACGCAGCTGCTGATGGGACAACGAAATAAAATGGATCCAGATTATTTGCGCCAATGTTTCTTCATTCTTTGTTCAAATTTATAAAATGGAAACATTGTATGAAACACCTTGTTTGATGACAATCAAAATTTCATGAAATTTTAACTATTTACTTATCAGTTATACTTTTAAATTTTACGTAACATAATGAGTGAAGTTAAAAAGAAAACTAAGGTGAAATAGTTCTTCAGTATTCCCTGGTATTCCAGTAGTTTCCTAGTTGATGAAAGCCTGTAAACCAATACTTGAAAAAAAAGCATCGGATGTGTCCCCTAGTGAATAATTCTATACAAGAAATCGCCAGGAATTCCAGTGAGAATTTGTGATCCTGAGGTCCATTCAGGTCAGTTGATGAAAGAACAGTTACTCACCAGTGATATTGACTGGTTCTTGTGTTGAAAAATTAAGAATAAGGAGAAATTTGAATTGATGGGTGATTGGGTTAGAAGGTTTTGAGGTTTTGAAGCCTACCGGATACGTGCTGATGAGGAGTTCCAAAGTTGTTTTTAACATCTGCCTTTCGGCTACCCACCGTAATCAATCAAATCCTTGTGAACCAATATACGAAGACGAAAACGATTTAACTGAAGATCTTATTTTAATTGAATTTTGGATTATCCCATCGATTGATTGAACCGAAGTGCTCGGTCTCAGGTTGACATGTCGGCTTCTTATGTCGATACTTTGAAAATGTCTGGTCTGGTGGATAAAGCTATGGCGTTTGAAAATAAGGACATTGGGTTCGAGCCTTGGTGGGGGAATGCAGGTACATCCAGTTGAAAGACGAGTCCCAAATAGGACGAAATGCACTGATAGTCACCATCCACCAATGAAGATCCTATTGGTAATACGAGATATTTTATTGGTTTACCCTTTCTGTTTATAATAAATATGCGAATCATACTGTACAGAGACAATTATATGCATGTATCTAGATAACCTTGGATATATCGAAAATAATTAGGCGAATATTTTTCTAATGTTTAAAATAAGCGCCAATAGAACACTTAACGAACCCAATAAAAATGTTATAAAAAGATTGAAACAAAAACAGTAAACGAAAACCATAGGAACGGAAATTTGAGTTCAGCCCATTGGAAAAAATACATACTATTTTAATTATTTGTATTATTATCACTATTATCCTTATATATATATTCAGTATTTCATTTTTTTCGAACAATATTCACCTGATATTCATTTTGGGGCGGGAATTATAAAATTTGAAATATATCAAAAAATACTACTGGATAGGATAATAATTATAGTTTTGATTCTCTGTTGATTTGTTTCGGGGAAAGGCAATTACAAATCGATTAGAATGTGTGATGGAAAGGATCCAGGTAGTTCGATTTTATTGTATATTCTTTTAAGTTTGTCAGTCATTGTTTGATTTCGACTTCTATTTGGCGTTTTATTTTTACAGGACAAAACTGATTACAGTGAGGTATAATGTGAGAGGACACCGAATGATTTAAGGCGCTTCATAAGTAAGTGACATTATCTAGGGACCATTGTCTCAGCTACAAGAGGAACGGACGACGATGTCAAATCGAGATTCAGGAAGGCGAGAAACACATTCATCAATCTGAAATCAATCTGGATTCTTCGTCACTCAGCCAGCCAGCATCAACAACAAAATTCGGTCGGATTTTCAATACAAACCTGGTCAAGCCAGTCAGCTCTTCTATACGGATCAGAAACTTGACGGGCGGTCACAAAGAATATTTCCAACAGCCTGTTGCAGATCTTTATTAACAAGTGTCTTCGCTGGATCTATACTGAAAATCAGATGACCGGAAAGAATCACCAACAAAGAACTATGGGAACAAACAAAACAAGAACCAATCGCCCAACAACAACAAATATGCAGGAGAAAGTGGAGATATATTAGACACTCACTCGCTGAGAAGGATGCTGGGTGACATCGCGCGCACGTCAGGCCATTGCCTGAGTGGAACCAGACCGAAAGGGAAGCGGCGGCGAGTGGGTCGTCAGTGCTAGGGTGACATGGAGGAGATGGTGTGAAGAGGAGTTGAAAGAGTATGGACTAACATGGATGGATGCAGGTGAAAAGTACAGCAAAAGGAAGACAGAAGTGGCAAGTGGAGACGTTCAGTTGAAGCCCTATGTTCCACTAGGAACCCAAGGGAACTATAATAATAATAAATAAATGTGTCTTCCTAAGGCATTCCAATTCCATGGATAATTCACATCCAGGAAAAGCATTTCAGCAAAAAGACTCTTTTTGGTGACCATGGTAAATAAAAGGAGTTTCACAAAATTGTTCTGAATACATAGTTTGCCATGTATATATCTAGCGCTTTAGCTATATATAATTGGAGAGAACGTTTAGAGTAACTGAGTTTAACCCTGTTGACCAAGACATTCATTTCGTCACCTCATTTCTATCGTCATTGAAAGGCATGTACACGATTCGCAACACTAGCTCTTACTCTGTTTGAAGCCAATGGAAGTCCTCATCAAATGCTCATTGAATCCGCAAGAATTTCATGTTTCATTTCTTAAATGTTACACTAACATCAGACTGACTTCAAACCTTACAACTCAGCACCAAATTCTGCCACCAAGCTTCCAAAAGTACATATTTCCACAGTGAAATTGAATTTGAGAATTTTTGGAAGTAAAGTCATGAAAAGAGATTTCGCGAAATATACCCGTTTGATCATAGGGAATAAACCAGACAGTTGCAGAGAAGAGAATTTTTTTTCGAGGAATTCACCGTCAAATAGGTTGTACATTCGTGTATTTATAATAAATGGGTGGGAAAGTTCCAGAATAATTTCTGGTCAAAGGTCAGAGCTCCACAAGAGCAAGTTAACTGGTATACGCATGTTGAAGTGGCCCAATGTGACAGTTTTTCTTTCAAGTTCTGATCGAACAGTTTCCCGCAGGAAAACGTGAGTCGTGAGCTCGCGGTGAAGTATGTCTTCCTCAGATATTTGCAGAGGCGTTTACGAAGGATGTTTGCTTCAATGTCACCTTTACCAGAAATTATTCTGGAACTTTCTACCCATTTATTACAAATACACGAATATAAAGCTCTGTTTAGTTGATGATATCGTCGAAAAGAAGGAATTTTCTTCGCTGAAAACTGTCTTTTTATTCCTTATGAAATGGGATTTCTTTACTGACTTATATGTTCCTAATTGCATGAAATGCGAGTTTTCTATACTCTGTAGACGAATTTGAAAGATAAATTCCCTGACTGAAAATGAAATTCACCATAGAGAAGGCTTCATCATTTTATGTTTGTTTTTCTTAGTGTAGTTATACTTAGAGAGGTGAATAGTTCAGTTGCGAAGCTTTCAACACTTTTCTAGACAACATGTTCAGTGCATAATTCTGTTTGAAGTAAACATTTCGAATTTACCATTCATTACTCCTGGTAACCTTGAACATGGTTGGTTGTTTTTGTGTATTTTTCGCACCATCTAGTCCACTTGCATTTGTATGGATTATTTCTTTAGCCTGAAGTTAGACCTCATGTTCATATGGTTTTCTTCTTGTGCATTGGTAAATTTCGTTGATATCATTGTGTCTCTTGACTGACGATTGACTTGAATACCCGGCTTTCAAAAGTTCTCTGGAGCTTTTGATATTTATTTCGTCTGATTTGTGGACTCTGTCTCAATCGAATTAACTCCTGTCGTTTTCTGTATGCAATTTCATGGGGGAGTGGAAACTTATCTTTTGACGACCAGTTGCAGGTGATGAACAATTCAATAGTTCTTCAAAGTGATCAGCGCATCGTTTTATTTGTTTCGCCTCCCTTGTAATCAGGTTCCTATGAGCAACTTTTATTAGTTTCACCTAGATTATATAAACACTTATATGAATTTATTCTTGTCATTATTATTGTGGTCACCTCTATTTTTATCTATTTATTCATGTCCCTGAACTTTTATCCTATACTTTTTTCAGTTCATTAAATATGACATAATTTACTTTATCGTTTGATATTAAATCATCGATATAATTTGAAGTGTTATTTGATAAGGATGTGATTAGTCAGAGGTATGATCAAGTGTTGATATCAGTCAGATAACCACCGGAAATACTGGGCAGCTGTTTCATCCCAATTTGGGACTCTTCATCAGCACTCATTCACCTAAGTACTTTGCTTATGAAGTTTCAGTTACCAGACGAGCACATAAACTCTTCGGCCACTAGAATTGAGTTCAATGGAGTATTTATTTCAACTGCTTACATTTCGCTACTTACTAGGCATCATTACGAACCCGTGTCACTTCCAGGTAACTTTCCTGTTACTTCACTTGATGGATTCGATGGTTACAACTTCTCAAAAACACTTTATCTCTCTCTCTCTCACATTGTTATTATAAGTATTCACACCTTTTGTGTTAATTTCCTGATGAAATATAGTTTCTTGAAAGTCATATATGTATATGCTTCTGTCTATACCAAGCAAAATTCTAAGCTGCATAATCCTGGAGAGAATCAAACACGCCCTGAATAAAAAAATTCTGACTGGAGCAGGCTAGATTCAGACTGAACAAGTAATGCTTCGATCAAGTCGCAACACTGTTCATCCCCATTGTACAGAGTTTGAAATGGCAGTAAGCTCTCTACCTCAACTTCATCGAATTCGGAAATGTCTTCAACAGCGCAGCGTCGATCGAAAGGTGATTTAGCAACTACATCGCTACTATGGGGTGTCGCCAACATTTATACACCTCATCCAACATTTGTATAACAATGCTGCATGCTAAGTATCCCACAACCGGAAACTCACGGAATCTTTCGAAGTGAAGACGTAAGTAAGACAAGGCTTGCTGGTTGCCTAAAATCTCCAATGATTATTCAGATTATGGTAGACTTGATAATGTGACAGACAGCGGCGGGCAGGGAGGAAACGGGCATAAAATGGACCCACACAAAAACTAGGAGGATCTGAACTTCGCCGATGATATTTGTCTGATTTGCCATAAAATGGAAGATATGAAAATAAAAGGCAACAAGTGGGGAGAAAAAGCATCCAAGGAAGATAGACTTTAAGGTGAACACAGAGAAAACAGAGGTGATGAAGATTCCTGGCCAACAACAACAGCAACCACAACAACAGACAACAATCAGCCAGCACAAATGGGAGAAATCTGAAAGAAGCAACCTCCTTCACCTACAAACCTACCTGGGAAGCATCGTTTCAACTACAGGCCGACGGAGCTGATGAGGATATCAAAGCCAGGATCTGGAAAGCAAGACAAGCTTTTATTACTCTCATCAAGTCTGTGTCGAGATCAACAGCACTCAGCATGAAAAATAAGATTCGGATCTTCAATTCCAATGTGAATTCGTGCTACTTATTATGCGGATCAGAGACTTCGCGCTGCGCCGCTTCACGAAGGGTACTTTGAACAAACTACAGACCTTCACTAACAGCTGTCTTCATTCAATACTCAAGATCAGATGGCCGGACAGAAAAGACTAGCAACAAGTATCTCTAGCGATGAATGAGCCAACCTAGGAGGAATCGGCTGTGCAAGAAATCTGTTGAAAGAAATTGGAGGTGGATTAGTTAAACTCTGAGAAAACAAACCATCAAGTGTGTTATATCACATGGCAGGCCATCGCTCAAGTGCAGTCCAAATGGGAAGCAACGAGTTGGTCGTCAGTGAGAGGGTGGGATGACATGGAGGAGGTAATGCGAAGAGGAGATGAAAGTGTGTAGTCAGACGTTGGGCCTGGTGCATACGTTTGCGGAGAACTGAACGCAATAATGACGTGTGGCTGAAGACCTATGTTCCTCTAGGAGCTAAAGGAGACAATAATATCATATATATATAAATTTGAGAATAGTTTCGTTGAAAGGGGTAACTTCACTAAATATCCTTTTCCTAATATTGCAACGGTGACTACCTTATTGTTTTCACTTAATTTAACATGAATTAATTACTGATATGTATCCACATATATATATTTATGTGTGTGTGTGTATGTTGGTCTCTTTTGTTTGCTCGGTTAGTCTGTAACCACTTCACTTGTATGAACTTGTCTCCTTTATCAATGTATATTCTCCTTATATTATATTATATATAATATGAGTGTTTGTTGACAGTCCGTTGCTTGGTGACATATATCCATATATGGTTGTTCACATGTCTGCTATATTCGCTATGTATAATTGGATCGACACTCCATTATAATTAGCCATTCATGTTAAGACTGTCTAATGATTTTTCCCACGCTTTGTCTGGAACATTTATATATATTCGCATTCACAATTTGTGTGAACTACTTTACAACTACTTTTACTTACTTATCATTTTGGTGTGAGACCATTTATTTTCGTCTCCTTGTGTTTGGACAATAGAAGTATCATCGCAAACCTAGTGGTCTTCTGATTTCCGCCTTCTCGCGTCAGGACTATTAGTTTCTCGACCAGTACATAGCAATAATTTAGCGACGAGTACATAACAATTACTGTCAGTGAAAGATCCCTAAAACTAACCAAAAATGCTTCTTTTTTTTCATTGATAGAGGAAACTTCCGACTACACCAAAATTGGTTTAAAAGCATATATGGCAGGTATGTGATATCAAAATAATTCTATTTTTTTTTATTTCATTTTTATTTCTGATTACAGCTTGATTCCACACTGTATTTTTGGTACAAGTATGGAATTTTCAGCGTGGATATCGGTAGCCCAAATTTTGCAGGCCGACCATAGATATCAGGTGTGCGTCGGTGTGGGCTCGAACCCCGGACCATATGCATGGTCGGTGAGAGAGTCCTAACCACCGTGCCACCGACGCACTTATTCTTATTCTTATTTCTTATTCAATATTTACTGCTTTATGGAATCCAATCGAATATAAATGTGGTGCTCACTTACGACTTGCCCTATTCAGGTAGATAGATTACCTGGGGTTCTAGTAGGAAGTCGTGACCAGTAAGGTACAGCAGGTAGGGTGTGAAGACAAATATACTTGCCAGCGATGACATTAGCTAGCGGTTGCGCTATTTCCTGAATTAGCAGTCAGAAGACGGAATTCATGGATTGGCCATTGGATTGTGTGTCTCACTGGATTAATGGTCTACGAGCTAGTTCGTCTTGTAGCCAGAAGGTCCTGTGTTCGAAACCTTGGCGGTGGCCTCATATTGATGAAGAGTCCCAAACTAGGATTTAAAAACTTTGGCAATATTCCTAGGTGGTTTTCCTGTGATTCTCTAACTGATGTCAGCTCATGGTGAAATCCTGTAACTGATCCCTACAAACCAGAACGTTCTTTTCTTCATTGAACACTGTCTACTTATCCTGTTTGTCTATAACAAACAGTAATACTCATCAATCATTATGAACTGGGAAAATGTTAAGGAAGTTGCTTGTTTCACTTATCTAGACAACAACATTTCAATTGCTGGTAGGAAAGATGAGGATTTCAAAGTCAGGCAAGATCGCAAAAGCAGGACAGACCATTTTCAATGTGAAATTGTTGTCGAAATCTACTATAATCAAGACAAGAAACAAGGTTCAAGTCTTCAGTACTAAGGTTAAACCACTCAGTTTGTCTAAAGGGTTCAGAAACTTGGCGTGTCACCCCGAGGATTTTTGAAACAAGCTATTGCAATCCTTTATAAACAGCTGCTTTCGTTGCCTGCATACTGAAGATCGTATAGCTAATTGACCAAAAAGGATAACTAACCAGGAACTCTTCCAGGCAATGAAGAAACCAAGAACCTATCGCCCAACATTTACACTGGAAAAAATTGAGATGAATCAAGCACACGCTGTGTAGACGGTTGATTGTCATCAATCTGTTGGGCGTAATCGGAACAAGAAACTACTAGGTAGACGTGGGTACGAGTGTGCTACTGAGGAAATTTTGTGAAATATTAGTTAGAACTTATGACCAACCGTGGAGCAAGCTAAAGAAGGCTGCTAAAAACAAGGAGGAGTGATGATCTATTGAAGTCCTACGTCCCCATCAGAGCTCAAGGGAGTGTAATTTATTATTGACTAATACATCGAAGGAAATTTTCTTTATCGATGAAATCATCTTCAGAGGCTCTATAGTCGTATGTATACTTACAAAAATATATAGTAGTCTATTATTGAGTAATAGGGGTGACATAATTGATAGAATTACTCATAAGTGGCTTTAGAAGTGGAAATTGAAGGTTGTAAATTACATGGTACTCAACGGCGCAAAGATAGAAATTTGATAAGGTTAAAATTGCTCTTGAGTGACAATAAAGGCATTTGAGTGTCAATTTAATAAGTGTGAAGAGGGTGTGAAATGTACAGAACGAGCATATGAGAGTGATAATATTGAATTAATTGTTAAAGCATAAACAAACTAAAAGTTATTGAATTGAATTCTTGATTTTCCCGTCTATTGATTGGACCGAAGTGCTCGGTCTCAGGTTGACATGTCGGCTTCTTGTGCAGATGCTTCGACGATGTCCGGGCATTTAGTTAGTATACAATTGGTGGATGGTGGCTAGCAGTGGAATTCAGGATGCGTATTTCGTCCTATTTGGATGGCTCTCGTGGCCCAAGTGGTCTAGTGGATAACGCTTTGGCGTTTGAAACTATGGGTACTGGGTTCGAGCCTCGGTGGGGACATCATCACTCACTGAGAAATGCAGGTACATCCAGCTGACGAGTCCCAAATAGGACGAAATGTGCATCCTGGATTCCACTGCTAGCCACCATCCACCAATTGTAAACTAAAAGTTATATTAAAAATCAAAAAAGAAAAAATCAAATTTTTTACAGGGAACGATTAGTGAAGAGGTTAAGACCAAGGTAGATAAAGAGACTGGACAAACGTTTCCTGTATACAGACTTCATTGATGAATTGCCAGCGCCTCCGGTATACACAAAAGCTGAAACCGAACTCCCTTTGTACCATTTGTCTTCACTTTGTAGATAATCTTGAAAGACGAATCTGGTGGAGCTACGTGGCCTGAGTTCACTAAATAGTCGAGAATTGAGCTAGTAATTATCTTACATTGTCCCTTTGCTAATCATGCCGGATAATGTTGAGAGATGCGTTTGGAAAGTGTGCGCCTTGTGTGGGCGGCCAATATAACCAGCTCCACACAAGCAGGTGAGTTCATAAACAGACATTGAGGTGGCCCAAAACGGCAGTTTATCCTTCACACATCCGTTGATCATTTGTCAGCTGTAGAAATTGATACGTAGTTGAGCCAAAAAGAAGGCTTTCCTCAGTGATCTGGATAAGCGATTCTTCAGGATTTCGGCTGCGGTATCACCTTTAAATTCAACACTCATAAATAACAGTTTCTTTAGCACTGTCTGGGTTCTTTCAACACTGTGTGATTTATCAAAATAAAATCTTATCCATAATGGATTCTTTCAGGCTTTTGCTTTAACTTCATGTTTTTCTCGATAAATCTAGGAGGGCATTCATTCTGTATGAGGACTTGTCTGAGCCGCCCCAGTTTTCTTCATGACTGCATGGGTATTTTTGGTAAAATTGACTAATACATTCGCAGTAAATGGAATATTTTATTTCTTCGGTTTATGCTTATTGTTATTATTCCTTTGGGTTCCGAATGGAACATAGAGGTACAAGAACACACATCTACTTTCTTCTATTGTCTGACGTCCTCTTCAGCTGTCTACCTCCACAACTGACCATAATCTCTCATTTTCTCCTCCTTAAACGATCTCCTGCATGTCACCATCACACCGACTAACCACCTATCTTTTCACACTGGGATTCCACTCAAGCAATGGCCCTCACGATGTCATTTGACGGTCTCCATTTACATTTTCGCCTACATATTTGTTGAGAAAATCGGCTTTCGCCTGTTGGTTTGTCCCACTATAGGGCTGCTTGTTGCTAATTCTTTTAGGCCGGCGGCCGGCTTGCCATTCCATTTTCAGTATGGAGCCAGGGAAGATAGCTGTTGATAAAAGTTTGTCATTGTAGGAAATGCTTTTCGTGATGATATGTATCCATATATATATATATATATATGTGTGTGTATGGTGATCTCTCTTTCTGTTTGCTCGCTTAGTCTGTGACCATTTCACTTTGATGAACCTGTCTCCTTTAACAATGTATATTCCCCTTATATTATATATAATATGAGTGTTTGTTGACAGTCCGTTGCTTAGTGACATATATCCATATTATATGTGTGGTTGTTGACATGTCTGCTATATTTTGCTATGTATATATGGATCGATACTCCATCATAATTAGCCATTCATGTTAAGACTGTCTATTGATTTGTTCACACACTTGTCTGGACATTCATATATATTTCGCTCTCACAATATTGTGTGTGACTACTTTGGTGTGATACCACTTATTGCTTCTCCTTGTGTTTGGAAAATAGAAGTATCATCGCAAACCTAGTGGTCTTCTGATTTCCGCCTTCTTGCCTCAGGACTATTAAATTCTCGACCAGTACATAGCAATAATTTGGCGATGAGTACATAACACGTGATATGCCAAGTTTCTGACAATTGTATATTTCTGAATTTTGTCTTCCTTTATAGTGCTGAATACATTATTTCAGTTGTCCAGTCTCAGTAATTCCTAGGTGGTATACGTCACTTATGAAATAATTAAGCCCGGGTCAATTAGGCACTGAAGAATGTTCGATGATGGACAGCAGAAGCTTTACAGGTAAGTTAACTAGCTCAGAGAATGCAACTACACCAAAAATATCCACCTGAGCTTCAATTCATAGATGATACGTGCATTCGATATGATGGAGAAGATCTGTAGCGCAGGTGGATGATTTTGATGTAGTTTTGTTCTCTGAGCTGGATGGTTAATTTGCGAAGCTTTCATCACCCTACTGGGTGACATCTTCAGTGCATACTTCAAATTGAAATTCCAAAATTGTGTGCCTGTAAACAGAAAGAGTCACCTAAAATACTCTCTTTCCTCGAAGATCCGGAAGAGGTGCACTGAAGAGTCAATCGATGGAGAATTACAAAATCTCCTCAGGACTTTGATTGAAAATGGATTTCCACCCAGATTCATAGACAAGAATCTAAAATCAAAGAAAACACCTGAAAAGGTCCAAGTCACCCCATAAACATGCTGATGATACTTAACCTCGAATTTAAAAGTAAAACCGAAGCAAAACTTCTCTGTGGACGGCTTTTGAAATCTCTCAGTGGAACATACTTCGTCGTCAGCCTACGAGTAACATTCTCTTGCAAAAAACTATTTAATGAACCCCTGAAAGACAAGCTGTCACATTGGACCAGTTCAACATGCATAAAGAAGTTCACTTACTCATGCGGAGCATAACATTTGATGGGCTATGAGGAGCTCTATGCAAAATTCCAATAAAGGCTGTAGGTAACTGATGATAGACTGCAGACTGAATTCTACCAGTCCAGTTTGCAATGTGGCCACCATACTAGGTGGATTGCCAACGCAGTGCACTGTGAACTGTTGATATTATATAATAAGAGGCAATCAGTAGGAAGCTTCGGATATAGGTTTCGTGCTAGTTGGCACTTTTCAGCGAGCCGTATTTACATACTTGAAGGAACTCGTATCCCTTCTGAGATTCGTACCAGTCCTACAGTAGTTCAACCGCTAGTCCGAATAGCTCAGTGGTTACATTACTGACTGCAGCATTGGATGACGTGGGTTCGGATCTCAGAAAGGACATGGGTTCCTTCAAGGTAGTTGCAGATACCTCTTGTTAACGAGTGCCAACTGGCAAGAAACCTAGGTTCAAGTCTTCATGCGGGTTGACTTCAACCTCTAATACCAGCAATGTACATAGTTTGCCTAGCAGATTACTAATTAAGATGTTTGCATACAGGATTTGGTGACCGTCGTCTGATTAGCAAAAACACTGTCAGAGACAATGAAGACGCCCCTGTTACGTACAACTCAGGCAAAGACAGTTCTTGAAGAATGTCAAACCAGGACGAAACAGCTGTTCAGTACTCCCAGGTTTTTCAATGGTTCTCTAATTAATGTCAGCACATGATGAAATCCTGTAACCAAAGAATGTTCTGTCATCTACCGGTAAATATGTTTTCATGTTCAAATTAGAAAGTTTGGTGTCTTCTTCAACCTTCTTTTTGAACCAGATTTCTTTTTTGATGTCGGTTCAAAGTAAAAGTTGAAATAATTATTTTTTGGTATTTTTATTATAGCTCGATTCCACATCGTATTTTTTAGTACAAGTATAGAATTTCCAACATATGATATCCTAGCCCAAAGTTTGCCCACTGATATCAGATGTGCGTCAGCAGGGGATCGAACCGCGGACCACATGGTCAACGAGAGTCCTAACTGCTGCGTCACTGACGGTGATATCAGTTACAGAACCACTGATAAACCTGGAAGTACTGGAGAGCTGTTTCGCCCTAGTTAAAGACTCGTCAACAGTACGCACCCACCACAGGTGGTTCGAACCCAGGGCCTTCTGGTGACAAGGTGAGCTAACTTGTAGACCATTATTCCACTGGGACCCAATCCAAAGGCCAGCCCATGAATCCTAACTTCTGGCATATCACAACATAGTGTGACTGCTAGCCAATGTCATTGCTGCTGAGTCTTTGTCCTCACACCCGACTTGTTTTACCCTACTGGTAACGACTTCCCACTAGAACCCCAGGTAACTACCTACCTGAATAGGGCCAGTCACACCAGTAAGCATCATATGAATTTATAAGCATTGGTTTTAGTAGGGATTTAGTTTGATTGGTTTTTTAGTAAATAACAATTAAATGATTTGTCATAATAACTAAAAATTTGTAATTTCTTACAAACCTGTTCATGGTATGTCTCCTATATTTTGTTTGTTTAAAAGCAATTTACGGTGACCATGAAAATCTTGACAAACTATTGGATGAGTTAGATGTAAGTTCTTTTATCTTAGATTACTGGGTTTTCATTTAAGTTATACGGTGGTACCTATCATCACTTACCTCTGCAAAATCAGTTTCCCCTTAGTACAGTCAGAAAAATTAACTAATGTGCGATGTTTTAGATAAATTACTGTTATATATAAATTTTATTTTTCTAAAATATTAGGTTTATTCGTTAAAGTTAAGTACAGAGATTCAATTGTTAGTTATCTCTGAGAAGGTATCACACTTCCTCATAGCAGTCCTTAGTTCTAGGCCAAAGCAATCCTTGGTACAAGAATTCATCGAAATGATTATTGTGAATGTATTCAAGTGATGGTGATAGTCTACAATTGTTGCATATACGTTAACGGCAGCTGCTTACCTTTGTAAAATGATCGCTTCTCTGTCTAGGCATATTTTATTTTATCTTATAAATACATTATCCAAATAGTCGTGAAAAATAAGATGTCGAAGAAATTCACGTTTTTTACTTTGAACTCATCTGATCGGTTTTTCAGGAACATCGTGACGGTAATTCACTTGGATCGCTATAGTTCACGCTAACCCATTTATTTGTACAGTAAAGCAGCGCTTGTATTCATCCTTGTGATCTTTGAACCACATAGGCCGTTAGTTAACTTTTTTAACTTAAGAATCAAAGTCATTTGACGGAATGTTTCACTATTGCTTCGAGACAGTTAAAAGTATGTGCTCAACAGACTGCCTTCTTGGTTTCTTCCTTGAGTCGATTGCCAGCGTTACTTGTGTCCCCGTGGTCATCGTTGATAATAGTGATTAAAACAGAGGGTTGAAAAATTTACTAGGTTTAACTGATGGTCAGCAGATATCATCCTGGAAAGAACGTCATTGATATTATATGGTAGGAGGCAATTCGGCAGGAAGCCGTGGCTACCTTATTTGGGTTTCGCACTAGCCGGCGCTCGTCAGCAAGGCGTATCTGCAACCTTGAAGGAACTCATTTCCCTTCTGACATTCTAACCCACGTCAGAGAATTTTGCAGTCAGAGACGTTACAACTGAGGTGTTCAGGCTCGCAACCAACCTTCTGTGAGACTATATTGAATACTTTGATTAGACTTGGTTAATAGAATTCAGTCTGCAAGAAAAAAAGACTGGACACATTGCACTAGTTACTGATTGGTGTTCAGTCAAAGAAGACCATTACAATATTGGTGAGACGGAGAGTTTAATAATTTGGTAATTTTTATTCCAAGAAGTGAGTTGTAAACACCTTGATGACAGATAACGGGAACGATATAACCTTAATCTGAATCCAGAAATCAACAAAATTATAATAGCAATAACTAGGTGTGCATTTTTGTTGAAAAGGGGAATACGAGGGACATAAAGAATATGGTAATATGCAATAATTATATCTATGAGGGTGTATCGGTGGCGCAGCGGTAGGATGCCCGCCAGTTACCTTGCTACGCCAGTAATAAAACTGGGGAGGGGGGAGATTGGGTCAGGTGAGGTAAGCAACCTCATCCCGTAAAAATAAACACCACTGCTACCTAAATCTCAAGTCTTTGGCTTGAAGCCCTATGTTCCACTGAAAACCTAAAGGAATACCGCAATACCCATGAAGACACTGAACTTGGAAAGGAATGCATAATTAGGACCAAATATTAATGATTCCTACAGTTTCATTTAGTGTTGATTGACGTAATGGACTACATTTGTGGAAGTTGATATTCCCTCGAAATAGCGCTGAAATTACTTTTATTTTATTGTAATATTAACAATCTACTATTTAGTTCTGTTTGTACTACTTTTCGAAGACAAATCAGTATACTTACTGTTCGATAATTGAAAAATTGATATGATTATGAACAATAAATTGTGTTCCAAACGTCATCCAGTATACAATACTGTTTCATTGTGTGATACATTTAATAAACAAACTAATATGCAATTTCGATAATGTTTTCTGGGAAGCGCTGCTTTGAGAAGAATAAATTTTCTCAATCTTTTAGGGACATCTCGCCGAAAACCACCCTGTTTGGTGAACTCATGAAATCCCTCCTTACTAACTAACATTTTTTGTTTGTTTTTTATAAGATGAAACGTGTAATGAATGTTTCCAAGATTGAATATTTCTTGGAATATTTTCGTATACTTACAATTATATAAGTAGCTCATTTGTACCAGTAAATAAAACTATCTGCCTGGTATGACACATATGTTCACGTGTAGTTCACTTTGTTATTTGGTTCTACGTTAAGTATAGCTTTCTCAACCATCGCTAGAAAAATAGTATCTTAAGATTCCTATCTTGAAAGGATTTCGGCAAAACATTTTTCTCAGTAGGTACCTTGGTCTTTGGATACTGGAGATCAGAGAGTCGGTGAGTCGGAAAGTATTAGCAACAAAGAATTCAGGCAATGAATCAATCCAGAACCTATGAACCAACAAATATGTGGAAAGAAATAACAACTGACCAGACAAACACTGACAATGTTGTTGTGAAGCATTACTCTACTCGACATTGAAAAGAACCTGTATAGGACAAAACATGCTGGTTGTGATGATATTTTTCTAAGGAAATGAGAGCTTATGAGCAGTGATGTAGCCAGTAAGAAAAGACTGCGTGATTAATGGCTTAAGAGTAGAACGCTTGCAAGCCGTGCACCTGATTTGAGGTTTTATCCTCAGTAAACTGGATTCTGAACCTCGAAAAACCAACAGAAAGCTGAGTAAAGGGGGAAAGTTGAATATGAGGCTGTCAACCCCAACCTATAGAAAAAAATACCTCTGCTGTTGAAACTTAACAGTTCAAGCCTGAAACTCTGTCTTCCACTCGCAAAGGAAGGGAATGAAAAAAGGTTAGCAAGAGAGGATAGACATATTAAAAATCCTAAATAAAAGGCAATACTACTGAAAATTTGAAATCATTACATTCAGAACTGAATTTGGAGGTCTTCTGCATCACAGTATTGAAGTTATTTTTGAAATCATGTAAGTTTGAAATATGCATTAGGACTATTTATATTATTAGAGCGACCTACTAAACTAAATGAAATCCTGTCAACGGAAATCAAATAAATCCAACTGTTGCCTGATGTTGATTAACAGTTTCTGATTAGTTATTGAAAATTACAAACAATTAAAGTAGGTTAGTTACAGGACTTCATCATTAGATGATATTGGTTAAAGAACAAATAGGAAACCTGGAAATACTGTACAAGTGTTTCTATTCTTCTGGCTTGGGACTCTTCAACAGTGCGCACCCACCGCCAAAGTTTATATCCAGAACCTTCCGGCTACAACGTGAACTTGTAGATTATTAAGCGACTGAACCCGATCCAATGGCCAGCCAATGAATCCCAACTTTTGTCTGCCAATTCATGACATAGCGCGACTACTAGCCAATTTCATCGCTGGTGAGTATTTTTCCTCACAACCGACCTGCTGCACCCTACTGGTCACGACGTCACACCAGAACCCTAGGTAATTACCTACCTGAATAGGGCCAGTCGCTAGTGAGCCTCTCATTGTTTTTCAAGTATTGATTTGTAGGGATTTTGTCTGATTGGTTACAGGATTTCATTATGAACTGAAATTAATGTGTTAGGCCACTTTTCCCTAGTTGCCTGTTGTTTACCATTTTAGGGTTAAAATCAACGGGTGCTACGTAAGACTTTTAAAAGAGACGCCACATCATCTACTGAGGATAACAGGACTGCTAAAGATCCCTGTGTAGAATGCAATGCGCGTCCACCTTTATCAAGTAACATAATTCCTTCATTACTTACGACAGCCGTTTTTATTTAAAATTTTATGATTATACTTTATTTTTTGAATAATTCAGGTTTCGCTATATGCTGATGAATTAACAGGAATGATGCCTATTCATGCAGCAGCAGCCTGGGGAATCCAAAATGTATTGAAGTAGGTCTGAGTTGATCTCCTCCTTTTGATGTTTCACAATCTTATGTCATTTCTGTCATGTAATGAATGCACTGCAGAAATATACTTTGTGAAAATTTTCTGAGAAATAAGGACTTTGTGTTTTGAAAGTCATCACTATATTAAAACTGACTTTTATTGTTCCCTAGGGTTCTGAGTGGAACTTTAGGGCTTTACCGGAGAATGGCCGTTCCGTTCTTTCTCCATGCAATCAATTTTAGCTGGCTCCAATACTGACCATACGTTTTTTTTAACTAATCGCTACAGCATTTTCTGCATGTCAAACCAAGCTCCAACTTTCCGTTCACTATTAAGTTTCAACTCAGCCTCCTGGTGACTGATGATACGCAGTGTTCTCCTCAGCATGTCTCATGTTGATCGACTTGTTACCTGTCAAAGTTCCTTGCTGCTTGTACTCCCAGACAGGTACCCTGATCTTCAGTATGGAACCATCGAGGGCTGACTTCTTCCTTTTTGGCTGATATAACACAATGTGGTGTTAAGATTTTCAGGTGGACAAGTTTCCGATTAATCCATCGTAAAAACACGAGAGGTGTAGTCGGCTATCTGGAAAAGTCTGCATTTTCCACTGAGACAGTAAGCTCAGCAGTCGATAAATTCTCAAGCCTTAATAAGTAGGTGAACTTCTGAACATTTTATCATTAGGTGCCCACACAAAAAGTGACAAAGTTATTAAAACTAATAAGCCAGTTAGGGACAAATTAGTGATTGAAATATTTCGGCTCTATGATCAAAGTATAATGGAGATACGTGGATGATTCATTCACGATATTAGAAACGCAAGGTCTGGATCGGATTTTATACATATCAACTCAAAGTTTGTTGAGGGGATGATATGTATCCACATATATATTTATGTGTGTGTGTGTATGTTGGTCTCTCTTTCTGTTTGCTCGCTTAGTCTGTGACCATTTCACTTGTATGAACTTGTCTCCTTTAATAATGTGTATTCTCCTTATATTATATTATATATAATATGAGTGTTTGTTGACAGTCCGTTGCTTGGTGACATATATCCATATATGTTGGTTGTTGACATGTCTGCTATATGTATATATGGATCAATACTTCATTATAATTAGCCATTCATTTTAAGACTGTCTAGTGATTTGTTCACACCCTTTGTCTGGACATTCATATATATTTCGCATACACAATTTGTGTGACTGACTTATTACTCACTTTGGTGTGATACCAATTTTGCTTCTCCTGGTGTTTTGGAAAATAGAAGTATCATCGCAAACCTAGTGGTCTTCTGATTTCCGCCTTCTTGCGTCAGGACTATTAAATTCTCGACCAGTCCATAACAATAATTTAGCGACGAGTACATAACAGGGGATGAAAGACATAAAGGAAAAGGTGTAACCCCCGATGAATTGGTAAGGTAATATATAAAAAATTGTAGAACTAACATTCAAAGCAAACGTATGGAGAACACAACTAACAGATATTCATAGAATTCAAAACATCAGAATTCCCTTCATACAGAGAAGAAACGCGAGGAATCTTACATAAAATTACGTGGTGGTATCATGACTTTAAAAAGCTATACCAAATCAACTGATGGGTTTGTTCATCGTTGTGCTATATGTTTGATGCCTACTAATACTAGAGAGGGTAAGCTGATAATTTAAATATTTCGTAGGAACCTTTTTTCGCTAGATCGCTTCACTCCTTAACCCAGATTTTGTGTATCTGCAACTAATGGGTGTTGAAACAGGCTGTGAGAGCAGCAGCTGCCGAGATGGAGAATAGCCATGTCTCAACGGGTTCAGTGGTACCAGCATTGCAGAGACATCGCATCATGGAAAATAGAGAAAATCACTTGTTTGCTGGGTGGGGAAGACGTTATCTTGCATGTTGATGAAACAGTGCTGGTAAAAAAAGAAATACAACCGTGGTCGCCAGCGAGTGAACAATATTTGGGTAATACGTTTGTATGACACCTTCCTCCGAAAGGGATTCGTCGAAAGGATAGCAGATAGAAAAACAACTACTCTTATACCTATTATTACCAGACTTGTTAAGCGAGGGTCAATTATACACACGGACTAGTGGAAAGGCTACAATTCGCTGTCATCTCTGAATATTCAAGTGATTTTGTGGATCCCATTACCAGGACAAATACAAATTCTATTGAAGGATTTTGGGGCAGGTTGAAAAATATGACAAGGGCTATAAATGGATCTCAAAAGGATCTCATTTATAGTCATTTGGATAAATATATATGTACAGGATATGATGTAACTTCTCCATTGGCAGTCCCATGCTAAACTGGGAGATGTTTCTCTCACATGTTCGAGAAAGATATCCCGTGTAACATTTTTATTCTCTATTTTATGCTTTTTTCCATAAATATACATTTCCATTCATCATATATGCCTCTTTAATGTGACTGGTCTGTTCAAGGTCGTTTGCTGATTGGTTGTTAGTGGTGTCTAAAGTTTAACTTTTCCATAATTTCAAATGTTGAAATTAAGTAGTAGGCCGGGGCCAATTACATTAATGGAGGAGCACAACAGTCTAGTTGACCTTAATAAAATAAAGAATTTAGAAAACATTCCAACTGTCGCACCACATGCAGTTACAAAGAACTATGCAATAGGACAGAAACAAAACAATGGAATTAAGATCTTGTGTACCAGGGTGAGGGGGAGATTGACAACTTATTCTTTCTTTCTACATATATATATATATAATCAGCTGAAAACATGTACGACAAGAATGATTCAATACCTGTCCCAGACGTCTGGATAATTCTATTGCTTCTACGACAAATGGGAAGGGAGTAAGGGAACTGTAAAACTTGAATTTCTAATATGTCTGGTAACAGTTGATGATGTGAGTATGGCTAATAAACTTTGTTGAAAATAATATTGTTTCAGTTTGTTTGGGACACTTCAGCAGTGAGCATCCGTGATGTCATAAGAGTGGCTGAATCTAGGACCTTCAAACTACAAGTCGAGTTTGTTTGAAAGAAGGACACTCGGCTGGGGATGGAAAAACCTGTGAATGTTAACCTGCTTTGATTCTGTCTGTTAAATTCATCCCGTAAGTCTTGTGTATGATAAGGATACGCAGTAACTATTTGGTTATTGTTATAACTGCACTGAATTAAAGTAAATCCCCGTCGCCAATTTGTTATAACTGTAGGGAATTGAATGAAGACGTTTTCACCTTATTCTGTCTGCGCCTGAACTAATCTGTCTATCTGCTCGTCGTACCTTCCGACTTAGTAAAGCACGCAAATATCAAAAGACAAAGGCTGGACTGTGACTGTGTATTGAAGTGCAACAACGATAAAGAAAGCCATGGTATTTATACATTTTACAACAATATGGACAGCTAACAGCATTTGAAATAATTTATCTTAATAGCCAATAACAAAGTGCGTGAGAGATGATAATATACCATATGTGCGAGGTTGACAGTCAGTAACAAAATGTGTGGGAATGATAATATACCATATATACAAGATTAACGGTCACTACCAAAATGTGTGAGAATGATAATATACCATATATACAAAATTAGCAGTCACTACCAAAATGTGTGAGAATGACAATATACCATATATACAAGATTAACGGTCACTACCAAAATGTGTGAGAATGATAATATACCATATATACAAAATTAGCAGTCAATACCAAAATGTGTGAGAATGATAACATACCATATATGCAAGTTTAAACGGTCAATACCAAAATATGTGGGATCCTATCAGTTATACAGAGGTGGACTGAAGTCTCTTTATATGTTGATGAGGTTGAATGCCTTTGCATTGCCATTTATTAAATAAGGTATGACATATGTACGTAAATTTCTATTTGTGAAGTGTCTCAACTAGCGATTGCTTTGAAAGAAATATGTGGACACTTCAACTCCGTGACGTTTCTCCTTCATTGGACTGGACAATGGAGTACCTTTCCGTTACTCGGGAACGAAATTTTCAATACCAGCTGACATGTTAGCTCCCAACACTGTCGATTTGACTATGTCTAGGGATCTACAGGGTGTTTTATAGTAGATGATGCATTTCGTCTAGTACGTGATCAGTCAACTAGATGCACCTGAATAACGCAGTGAATGTTGCACTGGCACTAGGTTTTAAGTGGTTCCAATTCTATGAACAAAGTTGACTCCAAGAACTGAAACTCTTAGAAAAGTGTTTAAAAGTTTGGATTACTAGATATCTGCCTGCTTGTTGTTGATGATAATTCACCAGTGGACATTCATGATCTTGTCGGTGATCGACATATGAAATGATGGGTACCTAAACGAGCACATTACTAATCATATATGAAACTTATCATGATTGATGAGTTTCAGGTCCCTCCAAATAGTATTGTACATTCATTGATATCATTTGGCTACTGGTATCTGTTGATGTTTGTTATCTGTTCTCACGAGAAACTGGTCGCAAAACTTTCAGCATTGTTTAGCTATGATAGAGAAGATTTGTAGCTCAGGTGGATGATTTTGATATGATTGTGTTCTATGAGCTGGATAGTTGATTTGCGAAGTTTTCAACGCCCTACTAGGCCACATCTTCAGCGCATACTTGAATTTGAAGTGAGCTTTTAGATTTCTCCACGAGTTTATTAATCATCTCTCTGGTGACCTTGGACGTGATTGGTTGTTTATGTGTGTTTTCACACCTTGTAGGTTACTTGTGTTGGAACTGATTGTTTCTGTGACTCGAACTTTGACCCATTGTCTGTGAGGTTTCTTTCTAATCGGTTGATGAATTTTGTCTATCTCGATGTATCTATTGATTGATGATTCACTGGAATGCCAAGCTTCTGAAAATTCTCTAGCATTCTTGTTGTTTCCTCTGTCTAATATTTGAACGTTGTCCCAGTCGATATAATGTCCGTGGTTGTCTGTGTGTAGTGAAATGAGGGAGTGTTTATCATGTCTTTTAACGGCTAGCTTATGTTCGTGGATACGAAGACGAAGGGGACGTCCACTTTGGCCAATGTAGTGTTTTTCACAGTTGTTACAGTTTATTTTGTAGATGATGTCGGTTTTGTCTTCTTTCGCTGTTGAGTCTTTTGGTTGACATAGAATTGAGTGAAGCGACTTTGTTGGTTTGTGTACGACGTCAATTCCTAAAGGTTTGAAGAGTCTTGTAGTGATTTCTGAGATATCTTTTACGTATGGTAAGGCGATTTTCTTTGTGTTTTCCTTGATGGCTTTTGCTTTGGTAGGTTGTCTTGGACGTATATTTTTTTTGATGAAATTCCGTGGATATCCATCGATTCTTTTGGAAGACGTCTATGAGATACTCTTCGTCAATTTTCCTTAAGATGGGAGTGCTGCAATGAGTCCTGGCTGGCCTTCTTGAAAAGTGTTTGTATACAATTCCTTTTGTGTGTTATTGGATTGTTGCTGTTGTAATTTAGGATTTGGTCTGTGTGAGTTGATTTCCTATAAACTTGAGTTTCTAACTCCCTGTGGTTGTTCGCTTGACTAAGACGTCAAAAAATGGTATTTTGTTCTGGGATTCCTCCTCTCTTGTGAACTTGATGTCATTGAAGACGTTGTTTATTAAGTTGTGAGTTTTATCTAATTCGTTTCTTTTGATTATTACAAATGTGTCGTCGACGTAGCGTATCCAAATCTTGGGTTTGATCTTTGGTAGTATTATGTTTTCGAGCCTTTGCATCATTTTTAAAACATTTTTTTGATCACAGATTGATTCCACACTGTATGTTTGGTACAAGTATGGAATTTTCAGCATGGATATCTGTAGCCGAAATTTCACCTGCCGACCATAGCTATCAGGTGTGCATCGGTGTGGGCTCGAACCCTGGACCATGTTCATGGTCGAGGAGAGTCTTAACCACTGTGCCACCAACGCACTACTTCTTCAATAAAACCTGATATTGGGTGTTTCTTTGACTTGTTCATATATTTGGCCGTTGAACTGGAAGTATGTTGTTAGGCATAGGTTTATACATTGCCATCCAGCTTGTGTTTTGTGTTTTAACCTTGTTTTTTAGTCTAAAAGTGTACTAAACCTGTGATTACTTCAGTGAAACGTACTTTACACTTTTTAGTGTGTTCCTGAAACTTCTGAAACTGTATTTATGAGCAATCGATTTATTTTTAGCAGCTTATGAGCAGTGTTACTTGGAGCTCATTTATCAGGACTGCAAGTTTTTTCTGCCTGTAACCGAATCATACTCATACCAGTGTGAAAGCAATGCAGAATCATAGAAAAAAATCTCCCATTCAATCAGGAAATCTGTCAAGAAGAACTGCAAACCCCCCCTGGACGGTTGAGAATAAGTTCTTTTGATTTTAATTATTTTCTCGATAACATTTTTAAACTACTCATACATATCTGTGTATTTTTTGTAGGTTCTTGTTCGACATGGTTGTGATATTAATCAAGTTGATTCGTTGAACTGTTCTCCTGTCCATCATGCAGCTAGAAATGGACACAGTGGTTAGTTATTTTTTGATCTGATCTTAGAAATATAACTTTTAATATTTTAATGTTTGAGTCTTTCATTCAACTTCTTTAAAGTTTATCTGAATAAGAAGTATAAAGATCTGTACAACTCACAAAGAATATTGTTATCGTAAGATGACTGAAAAATACCGTTAATATATATGTGTAAAACTTGAACGCTGTGGTAGTAAGTAATTCCATATTAGTTTGTTTATTAGATGTATTACACACACACACACACACTGAGTGAAACAGTATTAGTATTTACTGGATGAGACACAGTTTCGAACAAAATTATTCGTGGTTCATAATCATACCAATCAATTGTAATCACACGACTTTGAAACTTGAGTTTTATGCGTGCATGCATGTCAAATATGTGCAAGACGATGGCAACGCTAACAATAAGGAATCTGAATCATCAAGAGCAGTTGCATACAAGGAAGGAACCTCGGAAACCACCTTACTCAGAATTCTTAACAAGGTAGGAATAAAAGTGGCTGGCATTCAAACCAACCACAAACTGAATTAGAAACAAGCTTTGTCGGTTAAAGGATCAATCCTGTGTAGCCTTTAAAACAAAACAATTTAGTTTATCTAATACCCTACCGGCAACAATTTTCAGGTCAAATACATAGGTCAAACTAGTAGAACAGGGGCAGCCAGACTAGCCCAACATAAAAACCTAGCAGCAAAATCTAGATTGGTTGACCCAAATAAGATAAGAAATCTAGAGAATAATGAAAACAAAACAAAGCTGGGTGCCCATTCAACAAAAGCGAAATTTAATTAAATCACTTGCTACCCGCATCCGACGCATTTGTAGTCCCGACGTTCTGGAAACAGAATTAAATATTCTGAGAGAAATATTCATCCAAAATGGATACCCAATAAGATTTATCGACTAAAATATGAAACCAATAATTCGGAAAAACGAAACTTTAACTGCGCCTAAAAAGAAAATCTACATGAATTTGGATTTCAAGGGAGATTTAGCAAGCGATATTCTCAAAAGAAGGATCACATCATCTCTGAGAAGAACCTTTTTTTGCAGCAACGCTACGAATAGTGTTCTCCAGTCGCCCACTGATCTGCAGAAGCCTCAAGGACAAGATACCGCATCTGGCCACTTCTATGTGCATATACCAGTTCACCTGCTGCTGTGGAGCCAGGTACATCGGTCGTTCGACGCGCATCCTGTCCAAGAGAATTCAAGAACATTATCCAGCATGGTTGCGAAAAGGCAATACTGGTGCAATAAGGAGTGCGATAATTGAACACCTGGTCAACACTGATCATTGCATTTCAACGAACGCCTCCTTCAAAGTAATCTACAGAGTCAAGAATAACATATCAAAGGCAATACGGTTTCGTCTCCTTTGCATCGCTGAAGCTCTGGCCATTCACATGGAAAAACCGGAGCTGTGCATACAAAAGAAGATTACTCAACCACTTTTACTCTCATGGTAACATTGTTTTGATTTGTTTTGAGCTTTTATTTTTATTTTGATGATTTAATTTTGTTTCTTTGCCTGTTCCTTAATTGCTTATAATTCTTGTATTCACTTAAATCTCTTACATAGTTTCGTATTATCTACTTTGTTTCTATGTGCATCCTGAGTAAAACTCACTCATCAAACTATTCATATTATTATTGCATAACTTCTTTTAACAACTGTTTGTGACAACTCATCACCTCTGTTACTACTCTAGCACTTAATGGTCTTGACTTATATTACCAACCTTTACCTGTTTAGTTAAAATAACCTTAAGCAATTATAATTCTTGTATCCACTTAGATCTCTTACATAGTTTCGTATTATCTACTTTGTTTCTATGTGCATCCTGAGTAAAACTCACTATTATTATTACAACTGTTTGTGACAACTCATCATTTTTTTTACTACCCTAGTTTCATTAGCACTTAATTTTCTTGACCTGTATTACAAACCTTCACTTGTTTAGTTAAAAGTAACCTTAACCAATTGTAACTTTGTTTGACAAACTTAATGTACACATACATACAAAACAATGCATATATATTTGCAATTGTACAGCTAAGAAAATGAATTCGCCGAAAAGAGACTCTTCGCTGATCTACGTGTTTTGTTTTCATTAATGCCTGGATGGGGATTATCCATGAATCTAGAGAATAGTTCAGCTACACCACACACAACATGCACTTACACAGGGAAATACAAAAAGGATAGGACAAGATGATAGTGTTTCTAAATCTAATGTCACACGGTGGAGGGAGAGATTGATAACGGAAGCTAAACTAGCCAGTTTGTATAATTACGAGTTAAGGATGTAGTATAAACGAATTGGGTAAAAGTCTTGGATATACAATTCTCTCAGTCAAACATACTTCATCGTCAGTCTACGAATAACATTCTCCTGCAGGAAAATATCCACCCAACACGTGAAAGATAAGCTGTCGCATCGGGCCACCTCACCAAGCATATACAAGTTCACTTGCTAGTGTGAAGCGGAGTACGTTGGCTGCATCATGCATCCGCTTGTAAAAACAAGCTCTAGAACACTTTTCAGCATGGTTAGCAAGGGCGAACGCAAAGAGATATATAGTTCGATAACAGAACACTTGGTGAATTCTGGACATCCAGCCCCATATGAAAAGTTCTCCAAAGCCATATATAATTTTTTTTGTGATTATAGCTTGTAACCACATAGTCATTTTGGTATTAGTATGGAATTTTCAGCATATGAAATCGGTGGCCCCAATTTTGCAGGTCAACAATAGATATCTGATGTGCGTCGACAGGGTATCGAACCCCGGACTGTGCGTGTATAGTCGGCCAGAGTCCGATCCAAGCTACCAAAAGTGGAGTGAAGTGAAGACATCTAGGAATAGCTGAAATAGTGGCTATCCAAAAACTCAAACTTATTATATGTCCAAAAGAATTACTTTCAACTGTTCTCCCTGCTGTGGCTACTATGAAAAGCCAGTCTCACCAATAAAATGATTATCATATTACCTTTCTTGTCCAACTTTCCCTTTATTTGTTATATTTAACTTTTACATCCTTATCTCCACATTGTTAAATTTAGTTGCCGGTTTTATTTTTTATATGTTCCAACCTCCTAACCATTTCGTTAATACTACATCCTTAACTCGTAGTTACACAAACTGAGTAGCTTTCTAGTAATTATAGTTCTATTTTATCTTTTCTACCTGATATTCCTGATTTCCATACATTGGAATTTTCGATTTGACCTTGGCCTGAAATACTTCTAGAATGGTGCCACTACCAATCTTCTTTAATTTTATTAATCTGACCTCTGGCCGGAAATAATTCGGTAACGTTCTCACACATGCAATATATATCACACGAATGTACAGCCTAGTTGATGATTTCGTTGTAAAGAAAATGAGTTGGTAAAATATAGCGTAAATGGTAGTTTTGAATTTGTTGGAAGAATAAGAGATCTTAATGTGAGGGACAAGTTTATGATATCTTTTGATATATCCCCTCCTTGTTCACCAATGTACCGTTAATGGAGACAGTGGATTTTATATGTGAGGAGATTACTACGCGAAACATAGACATCGGCATTTCTGTATCCACCTTGAAGGAACTTATTAATTTAAGATGTACAATGAACGTTCATTTTTTATTCAATAAGGAATATTACAGACAAATCGATGGTGTAGCTATGGGTTCCCCATAAGGCCTAATCCTAGCTGATTTTTTCCTCGCTAAGTTAGAGAATGGACCACTGAAAGGAGTAATTAGTGACTTGGATTTCTACTGTTAATATATGGATGATACATTTCTGGTCATAAAAAAAACAAGGACGATGCAATGAACATCCTTGACAAGTTTAATGATGCCCACTCAGCGATAAACTTTACCATAGAGAAAGAAAGTAATGACAGTATCTCATTCCTAAACGTCTTCATGGCAAGGAAAGAAGATGGCACACTGAGAAGGAGTGTGTATAGGAAACCTATTACAACAGGTCAGTACACTCATTTTTTGAGTTTTGTACCTTTGAAATATAAACGCGTAACCTGGTAAAGTGTCTGGTTCATAGAGCTAGGTTAATCTGTTCAGACAACTGCTTCAATGAGGAGCTTAAGATTATTAAAGAATTGCTTAGAAAAAATGGTTATCCAGATAAGTTAATTGAGAAAAATATGAATTCATCACCTAGGACAGTGACTATGGCAACAGTTCCGAAAAAACCACTGTTCATAAAACTTCAGTTCCTCGGTGACAACATTAGCAAAATAATTACACAATGACTGAAAAGAGCTTATTATGCAGCAGAGGTACGCTGTCTCCTCACAACCACACCTATCCTACGTTCGAGTAATAAGGATAAACTACCTAAATTCGCCTCTTCTATGTGTATCTACCAGTTTGACTGTAGCTGCGGAGCCAGCTACATCGGTTGAAAAATTAGGCAGGTTCATCATCGTATTTCCGAACATCATCCGGCATGGTTAAGCAAGGGACAAACGAGATCTATTCGTAGCTCTATTTTAGCCCACCTTGTAGATAGTGAGCATAAGGTTGATGTTAATACTGCATTTAAAATTATATATTAATTTTTCTTCGACACTGACTAATTATTGTTAACAAACATATCAGTGCCACTTGATTGGTAAATTGTTGTGTGTTGTAATTAAAATGCTATGTGTGTATATTAGAGTAAAGCCAGAGATGAGGATCTAATTGAAAAGTAAATATTTCTTTGCTCAATCTTTCTCTTTTCTAAAGGTCTAAATGGGAATATTTTCTATACTGAAACCATCTTTATAATAATTCCTATGATCTAATCTGTAAATCTCTATATTTATCCAGTGATAAACATAGCCACAGATTGATCGGATCAGTTGAAAGACTTTTCAGTGCTGTAGATTTTTACATCAGTTTCTTAACCATTAACGCTTACTGACACCATGCACCAAAGATATATTATCAAAGATAGCCATATCAATATATGCGTAGAAGTTCAACTGCTCATATGAAGCTAGATATATATGTATATAGGTTGCACTTACAGGAATTTATGCGCTGGTAAACATGTTCCTGTTTGGCTTGCAAGAAGTGAAGCCAGATCAATAAATAGTGCCATTTTATCTCATCTATTAGATAGTGAAGACCACATCAAGATAGATGAGTCACTTACGGTTGTACATCGAGTATCAGGCAGTTCTTCTCCAAAGGCATACGATTACATAGTCTAGGCATAGCTGGAGATTTAGAAATTGATAAGGGGAAGCACAACCTATGGGTACAAAAAAGGCACATTTTTATCTTCTTTAGTTACTCTGGTCATTAGGGAAACAGCCATCTTATATTTTTATGTCATATTATGCATTTCTTATATCTCTTCACCTAGCTAACTCAGCTCCAATTTGTAATCCTTATTATGTGTGTCAAGCTTTGTAGTGTACACTCATCTGGTTATGTCTAGTATTTTATTACATATCACAGTTATTATGTGTCAGCCCTTGAATTTACATTCACTGTTCCTCATTTCTGAGTATTTCTTGGAATGTATTTTGTGGCAGTCATTTTCCTCGCACGCCAGTGAATATAACTCTCTACCCTCCTCCAATAAAAACTACATTCTGTTGATTATTAATGCATAAGAGGTTTCCTGGAGTTCTAGTGAGAAGTCGTGATCACTGAGGTTCATCCAGGCAAGTGTGAGGATGGATTTCCCACCTGTGAAACAGGTTTTCGGATACGCTAAAGGCATCAGGAATTGGTAGAAGTTAGAATTCATGGGTTGGCCAATGGAATCTGGTCCCAGTGGCGGAATGGTAAACGAGATTGCCTTATAACTGAAGATAACTGTGGTGGGTGTGTCTTGCCAATGATTTACTAAACTAGGATGCAACAGCTAACTGTCCAGTTTTCCCCTTTGCCGGCTCTGAGTGGCTCTCTAACTCATATTAATCCGTGATCAACCCGTAAAAACAAATCTAATCGTTATAAACCAACTATTAAAAACATTAGTACGTTATCCAGATGTCTATTGGCACATTATTTTGATGTTCTGAATGACTGTACATTTTATATGAATTCAGTTGACAGTGTGAACTATGCGACTATGAGTCCATCATATATGTGTAGGTCGTTACATTATCTACTGTGATTTCCATTTACCTTTACTATTTGTATTCTAATATTCATGGATTTATAACTGCAAAGCCTGAGGAAGGGATTATCGATGACAACAAGGCAGCTCAAAGTCATTTTTTCTACTATACTACGATAATATTTATACTACTGAAATCAGCTTTTACATTAATGGTGTTATTTATTATTTTTTAGCTACAGTTGACTGGCTTATAAGGAATGGAGCAAATCTTTTGGAATTTAATTTATTTGGTCAAAGACCATCTGATTTAGCTTTGGCTAATCACTTTCCTGAACTTGCAGATATCATTCGTCGAGAAGGTTAGTTGCATTCTCAGTATCTTATGCATGTGAAGTACCAGGAGCTTTTAGTTAAGCTTAAGTTACAAACTTACTTGATAATCTGCAATCAATAGTGTTCTATGAGCTGGTTGATTTAGTTGCGGAGCTTTCGTCGTCTTTCTGAACAACATCTTCAGCGCAATATTTAGCATAAAGTGAAATGATTTAAATTTCTTTATGAGTGATTTAATTTCGTCTTGCGGTAACCATCTTTGCATATGTATTGATCATTTTTTATTGACTTGGATTTTAAACTTTCTGATCACCTGACTTACTTTTTATTAGTTGGTATATTTGGTCTATATTAACGTGTTTGTTAATTGCATATTCTTTTGAGTACCAGGCTTCTAGGAATTCCCTGGCACTTTCGGTGTTTCCTCTGTCTAAGATTTCGACATTATCCCAATCAAACTGATGTCCATAACTGTCTATGTGCATTGATACTAAAGAATATATATCGTGTCTTTTCAGGGCTGATTTGTGTTCTTGGATTCTAATTCGTAGGGGACGCCCACTTTGGCCGACGCAATACCTGTTACAGTTCATGCATGCAATTTATTTTGTAAATGGTATTAATTTTATCTCCTTTTTCTGTTGGATCTTTCGGTTTGCATAATGTGGAATTAAGCGATTTAAGTGTCTTGTGTGTTATATCATTATCAAACAGTTTTAGTATTCTAGCTGTTATTTCAGAGATATTTCTCATGTATGGTATGATGAATTTTCTTGTGGTCTTTGATGATAGTTCCTTGTTAAAATTTTGTAGATAACCATTCCTTTTTGAGACCATTTGTAGCTATTTTTCTGCCCATGTTTTCAACTCTGGAGTGCTTCAGTGCGTTCGAAGTCTTTTAAAAATGTCTGTACACAGTTTTCTTTGAGCGTCATTGGGTTATTTCAAGTATAGTTGAGTATTTGATCTGTGTCTTGGCGTTGATTTTCTATACACTTGTGTTTCCAAATTTCCTGTGTTGGTTCTCCTGATGAAGACATCTAAAAATAGGATTTTATTATCTAATTCTTCTTCTCTTGTGAATTTGATGTCTTCAAGCATGTTGTTTATTAATTAATGCGTATAGTCTAAATCATTTCTCTTAATCATTACGAATGTATCATCAACGTAACGTACCTGTTCAGATTTTCGGTTTAGTTATAGGTAGGAAGCGTTAATAATTGTAATCTTTGCATAACGGCTTCAGCTTTTAATCCTGATATGGGCGATCCCATTGGTGTTCTTTTTATTTGTTCATATATTTGAATATTGAATTGGAAGTATGTTGTGAGGCATAATTTTATGAGTTCTATCCAGTTAGCACATTGCGTTTTTATGTTTTCACCACTATAGAGTAATTGTTGCATAGTTTCTGTTGCTAGTTTTGGACTAATTGAAGTATATAATGCTGTGACATCAAAGGACACCGTTATTTCATTGTCTTCATCCACCTGAGCTACAAATCTTCTCTATTATTACTTATTGTTCTCATTAAAATCGTCTTCAGTGAATTTTGAAGATGAAGTCAAGTAACTCCAGATTGTTTATTTTCACTTTTTTAAGAAAACATTTTGAGTAGTTTGCTGAAATTCTCTATTTGTGTTGACATGTTGGTTCCTGGTAAAGACCCTTTGACAGTACCTTTTAGTAAAATGGTTGAAGGTGGCCAGCAGTGTGCTAAAGGATAGTAATTCCATCACACTTGGAACATTCACTTTTGACGATGGATTGATATCATTTAGAGAACCACTAGCAACCAAAGAATACTATAAAGCTGTTTCTTCCTATACTATTACTCTTCGACTGTAGGCGTCCACGACAGCCCAAACTTGGGAGGTGCAGGAAACACGGCAAGCTTTTAGATATTTCAGCCTTTGAAGCCTAGGCCAATAGCTAGTAGAATTTCAACTTCTACCGAAATGAGACTTACTAGTCATCGGGCGAAGTTGTTAGGAGTTGTGGTGAGAAACTGTGACCAGTTGAGTTCAGAAGGTCAGGTCAGGATATATACTCTACGGCGACATATATTGGTGGTCGTGCTGAAAATTAATGAATTGATGTTAGAATCGGTGGGTTATTGAACCGGGCTCCAGTGGCTTGATGGTCTATGCGCCTGCCTTGTAACTGGAAGGTTCTATGCGCAAACGCAGTTACGTTTGTAACTCTGAAGAGTCCGGCACCAGGAAGAAACAGCTGTTCATTGATTTCCAGTTTGCCGTAGTTTTCTAAGTGACATAAGTCCGTGGTTCAACTTGAAATAATTCAAATCACCATAGACTAACTCAAGACAATTATTTTGAATTTGCATGCTGAATGAATTTGCATCCCCAGTAAGATGATATACGTATTGAAACATGTACTCAATCCTTGTTGTTGCAAATGCCAATGGGTTATCCACCAGACCACTTCATGAGAAAACCGTAACCTTTAGACATTATCGAAGAGTGTTAACCAAGAGCTGCTATTTCAATTGCGATGAAGCATATTTTACCAATTTTTGCATGAATGCAATAATAATATAATCTAATATATTGTGTGTAGCGATACCTTCTTCAGTCGACAGAAGATTCAGGAAGAACTTTTTTGCTATAAAAAAGTATATTTGACTTGTCCTTACAGATGGGAGGCATCAAATTAAAAGTTCAATACTGCAAAATTTCACCTTGCCTCTGTGTAATCGCATTATGAAGTAGCTTGTTCAATAGTGACCAGTAATGGAATCTAGAAGGCACATTTCCTCCTAGGTAGGTCTCATCATCCGGATGTACCTAGACCTGAACGTGGCCCACATCGTATCAAGTGTCTGAGAGCACTGTCTGATAGGGTTACAAGGGCCATTGGAGGGCATTCAGTTGTTGATGACATCAGCTTTGATTTGATGTTGCTCACCTTTGCTAGCTAAATTGATATAATTAGTAACATGGCTCACTATCATCAAAAAAGAAAACGTCAGCACGCGAATACTTGAGAAAGGACAGACAGCTGACATAAAAGTAATATCGAATATGTGTCATGAACAAGGTTAAATTTACCGGTAATTCCGAAAAGTTTGCAACCAACTAAAGTACACTTTTCACAAAGATTGAGGAGAACACATGACCGTCATAGTTGCTTGATAAATAGATATGCTCAAGGTTACTGGCATAAATTTGGGGTTCACAAGTAAAACTCCGTGATTTGGGCAACTTTAAAATAGAATTTGAAGTAATTTACCTGAACACTGGCCTATAAGTACTTTTTTTTCTTTTGCTTCCCATTTTAAGCTAAAAAACAATTCAGAGGTTTGGAATCTAAAACAGTAAAGACGACAGCTTCTATAGAGTCGAAGGGAGAGCATGGTGGTAAATAATACTTATTCAGCATTTACGACGACAATTTTTTCTGTTAAATAAAATGTATTACTTAAATAAATATGTGTGAAAAGATTCTGTTTTCCGTAATTCTTTATTATTTCAACCATCTTTGGGTGAGTTAGGATGAATTTATATGTCCTGTGGCGTACTTTATGTGATTTTTTTCTTTTAAATGCGAAATCATTATTGTTGCGGTAAATTACTTACTATTCCTACGTGGATAACGATGAGTAGCACTCGTTTCGCATGTGAATACTTCTGTTCTCAGTCTTTGATGTGGCCGACGGTTGATGTTATTCGAGAACCACAGGCAAGGATAATATTCTTTAATCCAGAATTTCCCTGAAACCAGAAATATGAGGATTAGGAACGCAAGGCAAGGTTCCATCACTCTCATGTCTGTTTGGCGGTCAGCAGCACTCAACATGAAAAGTTAGATCCAGATTTTCAACTCCAGTGTGAAGTTAATGCTACTCACTATACGGATCAGAGACTTGGAACCGTGTCACGAAGAGCACTTCGAACAAACTACCGGCCTTCATCAACAGCTAGCTGTCTTCGCTCAATACTACTCATCATCCGATGGCCAGAAAGGACTACTGACAGAGATCTCTTGGAGCGAACCAACCAGCGGGAACTAATTGGACAATCAATCTGCAGGAAGAAATGCAGGTAAATCGGTCATACTCTGAGAAAACAAACCACCATCTAGTGACATCACATGCAAAACTATCGTTCGAAGGGAATCCGGTTGGGAAGCGGTGAGTTGGTCTTCAGTTCTAGGATGACATGGAGGAGGTCATTTAAAGATGAGATGAAAGCATATGGGCAGACATGTAGCCAGATGGAAACGGCGAAGGACTGAAAGCAATGGAGATGTGCGACTGAACCTTATGTTCCTCTAGGAACTAAAAGAAACGACAATAATAATAATAATAAAAATCATGATAATAATATAATGATAATTATATACATGTAATGATAACAATAATATATATAATAATAGTACACCCAGTAAGATTCGGAAAATCAGGCAAGCGTAGATTAACCGTATAAGTCAGTGTATAACAGTGAAGATGGCTGTAACAGTGATACAGTAATACAATCTGTAATGCAGTTGTATTCATTAAGTTTGCCGAATGAACAGCATTTCTACAATCCCCATCAGACTAATGAAACCTAGAATTCCAACAGAAATATTCTGTCCGCAAAAAGACAAAGTGTCATAACATGACAAAATCAACGAAAACCGTAGGATCTGTGACAAAGTGGACATCTTCTTAGTCTTCAAATCCACTGGCACAAACCAACTGCCAGAATGAACAAAGAACATCATTTCATACCAAAGAATGCTATAAAACACAACCACCAATCCGATTAGAAAAGACTTTATTTTTGAGAAAGTAAATCCTAAGATTTCTAGAGAATGCAAAGTACTGGGTGCAATGTGCAATCAGCATACGCATTACTGCACAGCACACATATCAAGAGACAAAAAATGTTGTAAGTACAAAACATCAGATCCATAGAACCATCAAAAGCATTACAGCTAAATGAGGGGCAAATGAAATCTCTGAAGCAAATGATTCACTCTCAGGTTCATGGAAAGCCACTGGCTTTACAGTAGATTTGATGATGAAGACTTTGTGCAGAAAGACTGTGAGGACGTCACAATCAGACTATGCAGTCTACAGAAAACAGCTTCACCAATGGAACACACCTTTGGTGTATTCACTCTTTTTTGGTAGATTCGTGTTGAGGGAGATGAAAAAGAATTACCGCCTCACAAGACGTCGAAATGAAATAAAAGCCTTATTTTAAGACAATATACAATGTGGTTATCTTTAAGTAACTAACGTACTTTGGTGTTTCCGCAAACTTCGTTGGAGAACTCCGCTAAAAATGCTCGACAAACTTACCCGAACGAAAGAAGTAGCAGCTTTAGAGTCACCATTTAGACTAATACTAGCCGAGTTCCTCTGCATAAAATTGAAGAACAGTCAAAAGGATCAAGTTAATCGTGAATAATAATTTTGTCGCCATCATACTGATCACTTTCTCAGTTCTGAGAATGAAAAGTGATAGAAGGACCTTTGTAACTTGATTCAGCAGTGCTCTTCAGCAAGGGATCATGAACATACGTTAATTTACTAGTGAAAATTATAGTCTCATTAGTGAACTGGCAGAAGTTAGAATTCAAGGACCATTGGTTCGGATCCCAGTGGCTCAATGGTCTACGAGCTTGCCTTGTAACCAGAAGGTCCTGGGTTCGAATCCCCGTGAGTGCGTACTGATAAGGAGTCCCAAACTAGGACGAAACAGCTGTTCAGTACTCCCAGGTTTTCCAGTGGTTCTCTAACTGATGTCAGCTCATGATTAAATCCTCCATGCAATCAAACATAATCCCTACAAAAACCAATACTTGAAAATTATTAGTGAACTGTTTACGGAAAACAGCGAACACTGTTTACATGAAAAATCAACTGCAGACGATCCAAATACGCATATTTACTGAGTTTTGTGGCTTTGAAGTATTAAGGGCTAAAGTTGACAGGTTATTGAGCCAAGATAATCCACTGAAATGGCTGTCTCAATGAGGTACCTACGACTGTTCTTGAAAACACTCCATAATAATAAATGTCTGGAGAAAGTGCTCGAAAGATCTAAAATATTGGCAGCTTCTGGTGAGCCATTGTTGCCAGAATTCCAGTTGTATGGCCTCTGAAACCCTAGCACAATCCTTTAAGAAAAAAAGATTTTTGAGTCAGTGCTTTTTTTTTGATTTTTTTGATTACAGCTTGATTCCACACTGTATTTTTGGTAGAAGTATGGAATTTTCAGCATGAATATCGGTAGACCAAATTCTGCAGGCCGACCATAGATATCAGGTGTGCGTCAGCAGGGGATCGAACCTCGGACCATGTTCATGGTCTACGAGAGTTCTAACCACTGTGCCTAGTTGATTGATTACAGTGAACTCAGATGACCCCTATCTGTTGACATATCGGTTATTTGGTGCGGATGCTCCTGCGTTGTCTGTATATGGTACCTCTTGGCTGTTAGTGTTGTTAGCTGCAAGGTTCATACTGCCCTAATGTGTCTCATTCTCAACTTGTCAACTGTCTGTCACAGTGAGAACTCACTTAGGATTCTGGCGCTTTCAGTTAATATGTCGCAAATTGGACAAAGTTTAAATCCTTGGTTCCGCAGTTAGCTATCATAAACCAAAAGGCTGAAATGATACAGTTCAAAGAAAAAAATTAAAATGTCATGGGAAGTAAAGGTGGCTAGTATTCAAGCCCACAAACTCAGTTAGAAACAAGCTTTGTTGGTTAAAAGATCTTGTGAAGCTCTTCAAACAAAACAATTTAGTTTATCTAATACCCTACCCACAATGACTGTCAGGTCAAATATGCATAGGTCAAACTAGGAGAACAAGGGCAGTCAGACTAGCGGAGCATAAAAAGCTAGTAAAATGTAGATTGGTTGACCCGAATAAGATAAGAAATCTAGGGAATAGTTCAGCTACACCACGCACAACATTCAATTACACACAAACATACAATAGGATGGGACAAGATGATACTTTTAAAATCTAATGTCACAGAGTGAATCAACTGCAAACACGTCTAATAGAAATGATTCAACGCCTGTCTCAGATATCTGGAAAGTTAAACTACCTCCACGATAAACAGAAGAGAACAAAGAAAACTATAAAACTCATGTTTCGAAAATGTGTGATTATATTCAAGTGTTGGGTTGTAGGGATTTGAGTGGTTTACAGGATTTCATCATGAGCTGACATTGGTTAAAGGACCATTGGGAAACCTAAGAGAACTGGACAGCTTTTCGTCCTAGTTTCGGATTTTTCAGTAGTACGCACCCACCGGGAGTCGAACCCAGGACCTTCTGGTTACAAGGCAAGGACAAATACTCGCCGAAGACATTCGCTAGGGGTCGCGCTATGTCGTGAATTGGCAGAAGTTAGAATTCATGTGCCATTGGATAGGGTCCCAGTGGCTACTTTTATGCTATTATCAGGCCTACATATATATCACAGTGACCCAAGAGGTTACACTGACTGGAACTACTGTTCCTGAAGGTCCCTCCAAGCGGGAACAGTCGGTCGTTGAAACATCTGTTAGAATAAAAGTAGTTACCATTATTGTGTAAGTGATTTACAGTATGTTGGTTGAGGTTGCGGGAAAAGTCATGCTGCTAGACACTGGAGTCGTGATAGTACTACGCTGTTTCCTTTAGGTGATCATCATGTCAGCTATACTGCCTCTCTGATCTGGAGAGTGGGTGGAGGCGGGTTAGACGGAGTCAACCCTGAAAATTTTACATTCCGACTTATCTTGCAGTAGTTTTATTACGGAGTGAACATGATAAACCATTTGAAACAGGACGTGTGTGTGTTGCCCGGTGGGTGCGTTATACTGAAGAGGCCTAAACTAGAACGAAACAGCTGTCCAGTACTCCCAGGTTTTTCAATGATCCTCTAACCAATGTCAGCTAATGATGACATCCTGTAAACGTGTGATTATAATTGATATGATTATGTACAATAATGGATTTTGTTTGAAACATCATCCAATAAATAATACTGTTTCAGTGTGTGATACATCTGACAATCATTCTTTGTCGTATGCTTTCAAGCTCGTGATATATCACCAATTTTCCTTCTGAAAGGCAAGCAAAGAACAATAAGAGTGATAAATAATTTCAAACCACACGCCATGCGATTTATAACAGCTAATTTAGTTTTGCATTTGTGTAAATATGTTTATATATGCAGTGAATATGCACACAAATTCTGACCTTCATATGATAATGTTGATTCTAGATAATGAGATAAAGCCACCTTTAATATTGTTATCAATAGAACAACCAGAAACAATTGCCGGAAAATATTTTTCTTTCCTCAGTTATCAGTGTTAACCTTTGATTAACTCTAAAACAATCGTAAATTTTGAAATTGTGTAATTTTTTGTTG